AGACAATTGTAGATATTCTTTGATACTACACTAAAATATGGCAGTGTTATTTTAGAAAGGTTAATTACAATAGAATTTGAAATTATATTAATGAAGGTTTTGTACTTTAATTACATTAAAATCCTCTGTCAGGCACTTTGAATGGACCTTTTATCTGTGAATTTATAACATCATTTGTTGGTTATTTGGAAAATATTGGTTTATTGAGGTCCAAATGTTTGCATATTTCATTTATCCTATCTAATAAAGAGGGAATATGCAAATTGACCATCACTCAGCCACAAAGATGGAGGTGCCCATAGCCACAAGATGGCAGTGCCCAGTCCCCTCAGCCCCGCCGGAGTTCTCTAGTACTTTCAGCCCCGGGGGGGGGGGGGGGGGGGTTTGCAGGCACGCAGTGTGCCTGGACCTGCCCTCAGCCCCCAGCCATCCAGAGCTGGCCCGAGGCGCAGGCAAGCTTCGGATGTCGGCTGCCCAGCTGCCTAGGGCCGGCCTGAGGAGCAGGCAGGCCTTGGATGGCGGCTGCCCAGCCAACGCCCGAGGTGCAGGCAAGCCTCGGATGGCGGCTGCCCAGCCGCCTAGGGCCACCCAAGGTTCAGGTAACCAGGGATGGCTGAGGCTTGCGCTGCCTGCAGTGGCAGCAGCAGAGGTGTGATGGGGGTGTTGCCTTCCCCTGATTGCCAGGTCGCCTCCCGTCCCTGAGGGCTCCCGGACTGTGAGAGGTGACAGGCTGGACTGAGGGCCCCCCCGTCCAGTGCATGAATTTTCATGCACTGGGCCTCTAGTATATTATAATACTAAAAAATAGCATTCCTTGCCCAGCCGGTGTAGCTCATTGGTTGAGTGTTGACCTGTGCACCAAAAAGTTGCTGCTTCATTCCCAGTCAGGACACATGCCTGGGAATCCCCTTAATCCCCTGTGAGGGGTGTGCAGGATGCAGCCAATCAATGTTATCTCTCATCGATGTTTCTCTCTCTCTTTCCCTTTCTCTCTGTAAAAAATTAATTAAAAACATATTTTAAAACATAGCATTCCTTAATATCACTACCCATCTCATCAGGAAAGTATTGGTTAGCTGGCAAGCTCACAGTGGTGGATGCAGCAGTATCTCAGTAGTGTCAGTGGAGAGGGGGTGAGTGTGTCCAATCTTGGAAGAGCTTGGTTTTGGTCTTGTACACCCCTGGGTTTACAGGCAGAACCAGAAACATCTGGCTGTAAAAACTGTTCTAAAAAAGAGTAATTAAGGTGGTCAGAGAGTGAAGGGCTTGACTTGGCACTAGAAAGATTATGGTATTTCAACTTGAAGAGGCAGAAAGGGTGGTATGATTCAGGTATTAAAAATCTTGAAGAATATGATTTGGTTGAATGTGGGCTTATTCATCAGTTCCCACAACTATTTGAGCCACTTAAGACTTTTAAGAGGTAAATGCAGGGCATCTAACCAGCAGAATGGAGATTTTAAACTCTATAAAGTACTCCTTGCCAAATGGCAGAACTTCTAAAATGAGGTGAAGGATGAGTTTGAACAGGCTTATTAGTCACTAGAGGTCCAGTGCATGAAATTCACGCACTCGGCGGGGAGGGGTTCCCCTCAGCCCAGCCTGTGCCCTCTTGCAGTCCAGGAGCCCTCAGGGGATGTCTAACTGACAGCTTAGGCCCCCTCAGCAGTCAGACATCGTTAGCGCTGCCACGGAGGCAGGAGGCTCCTACCACCACCACTGTGCTCACCAGCTGTGAGCCCAGCTTCTGGCTGAGCAGTGCTCCCCCTGTGGGAGCGCACTGATCACCAGGGGCTCCTGCGTACGGAGGCAGGAGGCTCCTACCACCACCACTGTGCTCACCAGCTGTGAGCCCAGCTTCTGGCTGAGCAGTGCTCCCCCTGTGGGAGCGCACTGATCACCAGGGGCAGCTCCTGCGTTGAGCATCTGCCCTCTGGTGGTCAGTGCGCATCATAGTGACTAGTCGTTCTGCCATTAGGTCAATTTGCATATTAGCCTTTTACAATATAGGATAGTCTCTTGGCATTTTTCTTTTTTTCCTTTTTTGATTAAAGTATAGTTGACATACAATATTATATTAGTTTCAAATGTAGAACCTAGTGATTCAACATTTATATATCTTATGAAATTGTTTTTTGAGCAGTGATTATTGGACTTCTTGGGCCAAAGCCAGAGCAGTGGCTGCCATTTACTTTTTGGTTTCCAGCCCTGGTGTAGGAGTAATTAGATTTAAAAAAGAAAATCTTTTTTAATCCTGGGATTTTATTGCTCAGAAGATAAAGTCATTAAGCCTCCTTGGCTGTTAATGAGATTACTTTAGTAAGTTTCTTGTGTAACTTAAGTTCTTAAACCCACAATCCACAGGTACACAATGGAGTGGCCTTACTAGGAAAACGGCCTACACCTGTTCTAAATAAATTCCAGAAACCCCATGGTGCTGTTGCCTTAACAGAAACTACTATGGTGTGAGCCCATTTATATTTTTTATTCTGGGGAGGTGAAGCAGTACAAAATAATTATCCTTAAATGCATAGAGTTAAATAGGACTTGAAAGATCACTTAGCTTGTAATCTTAGGATCTCACTTCTTTCCAAAAAGCTAATTTTCCAGTAACCTTATGGCAAACTTTTATTTCTTTTGCTGAAATTTTAACCAGTATCTTACTTAAAATTTACCAGACACTTTATAACCCAGCACCTTGGTTTAGTGGGAGTTTTCATACAGATACCATACACATAAACATATTAAAATTAGGAGCAATCTCTCCCTAGTGGCTAAAGACCAGTACACTTATTGATCAGGAATCCTATGTAATAAAGAGGGAATATGCAAATTGACCCTCACTCCATCACATCACAAGATGGGTGCACCCACCACAGAGGCAGGGTTCCCATAACACAAGATAGCTGCACCCACTGCAGAGGTGGGGGTTCCTGTAACGAGTGACCAGCGGGGACCTGAGGCTGTGTCCCCCGCCTGGTGGGGCTTGACGGGAAACCTCAGGCCGCACCCCCCACCCCGGGCTGGGGGACCTGAGGCTGCACCCCCCACCCTGGCGCTGGGCCAAGGGACCTGAGGCCATGCCCCCTACCTGGCAGGGCTTGATGGGGGACCTCAAGCTGCACCCCCCGCCTGACAGGGCGCTGGGCCAGGGGTCCTGAGGCTGTGCCCCCCTACCCAGCGGGGCTTGACGGGGGACCTGAGGTTATGCCCCCACCCAGCAGGGCTTGAGGGGAGCCCTGAGGCTGTGCCCCCTGCCCAGGGCCGGGCCGGGGGTTTTGAGGCTGCGCCTCCCGACCCGGCAGGGCTTGACAGGGGGCCTGAGGTTGTGCCCCCCACCCAGCAGGGCTTGACGGAGGCCCTGAGGCTGTGCACCCCCGCCTGGCTTGGCTTGACGGGGGTGGGGCTGGCTGGGTCTGGATCTCACCTAATGGGTGTGGGGCTGGCCGGATCTGGGTCTCGCGTGATTTCGAGGTGCATGTGAGTGGTCAGGGACTTGACTCTGGGTTCTGCGGTGTGCCCCAGACTCTGACAGGAGAAAGATTTTCATAAACATTTTACTAATTTTCTTTCATCTGACACTTCTATTATAGAGAAAGGGCAAATAGCAATATTAAAATATTTCCTCTAATTAATTCCCTTTTAATGTGCATGAATTTCGGGCACTGGGCCAGTAGTATTAAAATAAATGTGCAAATGGAGGTAAACCTGGCTCCTTCCACAGTGTGGGAGGGAAGTCATTTGAGCCTTCCTCAACCAGGATTTTGCTTGTGTAGACAAGAATTTTCCATTGTCATCATTAACCTACATTTACAGAGCTGTAGCATAGCTCAAAGGCAGTGAATGGCTGGAATCCGGGAAGGGTAGCCCTAGAAAATGCATAGTTTCCCCTACACCCAGGTATTCTTAGTATTGTGCTTTAGGGAAAATATAGGTTACTTTATGAAACAGTTTCAAGACTTTGTTTTAAAAGAATCATTTGCAGTATGCTTATTTCTAAAATGTATTTTTTCAGGATTTATGACATTTTGAATCATGGCTTTAGTGTTTACAGATGCTAGATAAGTAAAGTGCAACCTCAGCTATTTGAGCCACGGTTCAGGTCACAAATAGACGTCCTCAAGTCATGCTGTAACAATGGCTGGCTACTCTTTATTGAGTAAATTAATGCATATTACTAGAGGTCAGGCTTAAATTATTTTCAGAGATGTTACAAGGTAGATTGATGGAGGAAATGGCTTAGATTGCTAAAGGGGTTCTCATAGGAAATATGCAAGTAGTGTAAAGGGGAAAAGAAGGGACTTGAAATGGATATTTTTTGTTTTTATAACCCAACTTTCCTAGAGGCTTCTGGTTTTATATTTAATTAATATTCATCTTAGTATTCTTTTGTGTCTTTGAAATTAGAATGGTGTCTTAGAAATTAGCATGTGTCTTTTGGATATATTTAAGGTAGCATGTCTTGGCCGGTGTGTGTCAGTAGTTAGAGCATCAGCCCATGGACCTAAGGGTCATGGATTCAATTCCTGGTCAAGGGCATGTACCTGGGTTGCAGGTTTGATCACTGACCCCAGTCAGGGCTAGTGTGGGACGCAACCAATCAATGTTTCTCTCTACTCCCCGCTTCCTTCCTCCAATGCACTCTTTAAAAATCAAAGGGAAAAATATCCTCCAGTGAGGATGAACAACAACAGAAAAGAAAGCAGTATCTTTCATGTTCTATCAAAACCCTTTCTGGAGTATGGGGTTTGGGAAGAAACCTACAGTAACGAACTAGGACCGCCATGTTTCCATGTTTGTTGCTGAGGAGGGGAGGAAATAGATAGGAAAGGCTTCCACAGTCTCCCAGCACCTTGTATCCTTGTGCTTTCCAGCTTTTTCATTTATTGCAAGTGATTCCCAAGGGTGCTGTTCTTGAGCGAGCATGTACACTTCTTGATGGTTATAGATGTATAACTTTTATAGTCTTAGCTTTACTGAGAAAATCTTTTTAATTGCAGGTAAAAAACATCAGAATGAATTTCAGCTTCTGGTGGATCAGGCCAAAAAAGGATACAAGAAAACTGTTGAAATGTCAGAAAAGGATACAAGAAAACTGTTGAAATGTCAAAAAGAAGATGAATCTACAAAAATGCTGTTCCCTGTATGCCTGGGTAAATGACTTTAATTAAAAACAGAAATAATGTTGAGTTTCACTATTCATTTTAATATAAAAAGAAAATTAAAACAAAGAAATTTACTTTGTACTTAATAGATATTTGAAATGGGAAAAGGTGTTTTTAGACTTAAAGCAGTTGTTGAATATCAACTAGGTTTATAAATCTGGGAAAAATGACTGGGAGGATGTCCTGAGATACAGTTTCTAAAAGCTTCCTTTGCCCTGGCTGGTGTTCTCAGTGGTTAGAGCATTGGCCTGTGCACTGACGGGTCTTGGGTTTGATTCCTGGTCAAGGGCACGTACCTAGGTTGCAGATTCGATCCCTAGCTCTGGTCCTGGTGAGTCGGGAGAGGCAACCAAGTAATGTGTCTCTCTCAAATCGATGTTTTTCTCTTTCCCCTCCACCCTCCCTCCCTCCACTCTCTAAATATGGTTATTGGCCTTTTGTCTGTTAAAGTTCTTTGCCCATTTTTTTAATTGGGTTGTTTGGTGTGGGTTTTTTTTCTCGTTCTTGAGTTTTAGGAGTTCTTTATACTGGATATTAATGCTTTATTATATATGTGATTTGCAAAAGCATTGCATGGTAGTCTTTTTTTAAATATATTTTTATTGATATCAGAGAGGAAGAGAGAGGGAGAGAGAGAGAAACATCAGTGATGAGAGAGAATCATTGATTGGCTGCCTCCTGCACACCCCCTACTGGGGATCGAGCCCGCAATCCAGGCATGTGCCCTTGACTGGAATCAAACCCAGGACCCTTGAGTCCACAGGCCAACGCTCTATCCACTGAGCCAAACCAGCTAGGGCGCATGGTAGTCTTTTTGCTTTCTTAATATTGTCTTTTGATGCATCTAGGCACTTGATTTTGAAGAAATTCAATTTATCAAATTTTTTTGCTGCCTATACTTTTGGTGTTCTATCCATGAAGCTGTTGTCAAGTCAGTGTCATGAAGATTTTCCTTTATGTTTTTTCCTAAGAGTTTTATAGTTTTAGCTTTTACATTTAGGTTTTGATCCATTTTGAGTTAATTTCTAAGTATGGTGTAAGGTAAGGGTTCAACTCATTCTTTCAGATGTAGATAATTCAGTTTTCTGAGCACCATTTGTTAAAAAGACTGTCCTTTTCCCATTGAATACTCTTGACATCCTTGTTGAAAATCAGTTGATCATACACGTGAGGGTTTATTTCTGTAATCTCTATTCTATTGGTCTATATGTCTATCATTATGCCGGTAGTATACTTTTTAATTATTGTAGCTTTGTAACAAATTTTGAAATTGATATGAGTCCTACAGCTTTCTTCTTCCTTTTCAAGGTTATTCTGAGTCTCTTGAGATTCCATGTGAATTTTAGGATGGATTTTTCTGTTTGTAAAAAGTGCTATAGGGTTTGCATTGAATCTAGAGATTGCTTTAGTTAGTTTTGACTGCTGGGGTCCAACCCCAGTGGGTCCAGGGGTCCCCAAAGGTGTGGACGGAGTCGGCGAAGAAGGAATGACACGGAGACAGCCTTCAGTTGATCAGCAGCCTAGTCAGGACCTCTAGCCAGGATCTCCAGCCAAAGTTCTGGTCGGAGTTCTGGTTAGGAACTGATCAGGATCTGATGTTTATTGTCTTGTTACATCTATATTTATACCAGCCGATTTTAATCCTGTCAATTTCTATTACAAAGGTTAGGGCGTTTCTTATCTCCATTCCAGGGAGTAAAGATTATGTAGCTTAACTACCCGCCTGGCACTTAGTTAAGGGGTTGTATCCCCTCCCTAACCTCGGGGAAAAATCCCCACCTGGGGAAACAACCTTTCTCGGAGAGGTGACCTTGGTTAAAACACATGGCACTAAGGAGAGCAAACATATTAAGAACAATATGCTATATATGCCAGGTCCCTTGAAACATATGCTGTGCAGATGTTTCTTTCCTGCAGCGACTGTGTCAAGCAGCAAGGATGGACCGGCTTCCAGCAAATTCCCCCTTTTTTGTTTTTTAAATGATAGCGCGTGTAAATCAGTGGCCACCTCTCAGATTGGGCTGTTTAAGACTCGGAAGAACACTGGCAAGCAATGACAATAAGCATAGCTATAAACATAGTGGACGGATTGCACAAAGAGCCTTGTTCCTGTAGAAGGTTGCTGGCCTCTTCAGTCAAGGGATTTCAGCTGTCCTCAAGTCAGTGGTTTGGTTGTCCTTGTTGGTCTGGCTAGCGGGCGGCATCACTGGCGATGGGCTTTCCGAAGCGTCAGCGAGTTGAAGGGCTGCATCAAAGGGTCCATCAGGGCCGTGCTTGATGGTGGTGTCGGTGTCTGAGGAGTAAGCTGTGCCCTCTGGGTCAGCTGATATGGAAGATGGAGGGTAATAGAGAGAAAAAGAACTACAAGGCATGGAAGTGTTTAGAAAAAAGAAGGAGAAGAAAGGGAAGAAGGCAGCATCCTGACACAGCCCTTTCCTTCAGCTGCCCCTTTCCCTGTGGTCCAAGGTAGAAATGGGAAACAAGTCCTGTTGCAGTGAGAGGGCAGCTGCTGTCAGCCAGTCTCTGTCTTTACCTGGGTCCCGATCTGAGCTGGGCCAAGTCTCTTTCTGTTATCTGGGTCCCGATCTGAGCTGGGCGTGGGAAGCGGGAAGCAGCCATGGGGGCAGGAGACCTCCCTCAGAAGGGGCGAGTGTTCAAGCCCCTGCATAGTTGGGGGGGTGAGGATCTGTGCCCCACCTCTGTTGACCCCCAAGTTCTCTCCTGCCGGCCCCTCTGCGACTGTGCCTGTCTTAGGTCGTTCCTCCCTGAGGAATCTTACCCGTCTTTGACTAACCAGCCATCCTCCGGGGCCAAGCAAGGTGATGTGAGGTTCAGTTCTGTCTCCTTGGTAGACTATGCCCCCGTGGCCTCCACGCCCAGCAACTGCCTTGGGATCCCCTCGCCTGCTGGCAGGGCCCCGGCATTGATCACATATCTTGGGGAACCCAGGTTTCTTCTCCAGGGAGGGCCCAGCTCACACCATTGGGCGAGAGACAGATCCATGGTACCAGCCACCATCAGGCTTTAACTTCAGTATGAACAGAGAGCTCAGGCAACAGCTATGGGCAATTGGATTGTAAGAAGAGGGTCGTCAAATACAGGACAAAGGAGAGTCCCAGGACAGGGCTTTCTCAGCCAAGGATGTCAGGCTCTTGGCACAAGACAACTTCATGTATGGGGCATATACCAGACACCCCCTAGTCACGATAGAAAAGGGAGGTGCCCTTCCTGGAACAGTAGGGTAGGGAGATTCTAGAAAAGGCTGTGTTCAGGAAAGAAGGA